GAAATACAAAAATACAAAAATAAAAATAACTACCATATGAGGTATATTTATATACCAAATGAGGTTTACGAGTCTCTGAAGTCTTGGAGGTGAATTAAATAAAAACAAATAAAAAAGTAGATTGATTGAGACCGAATTGTTGGAAAGTCGAGGAAACAGCATAGAAAGGGTGAAACTATAAATGGTGAAAATACTATAATATTGTCAAGATACTGTGATATTGAAATAAAATTGTGAAGAAGCTGAAGATGTAGAAAATAAAAATTATAAAGTAAGAGTTTGTCAAGCTACATTCTAATTGCAGAGTATATAAAAACTAAATCAACTGTAAGTACAAGTCCATCATCCTCATGTTAAAATTTCGTTACCAACAATAATTTGGAAGCAAGTAAGTTTTATGGAAAAAAAAAAAATCAAAACATAAAGTAAAAAAACAGATTGCTAGGTTGCTTTCCAGGTTCAACCCAATTGTTTTTGAGAGTTAGTACAATAATTGCTACAAATAGTACAAAAATTGCTTGATTAAAAATTTTATTTATAATTTAGCACAACCAAATTAAAAACAAGTTTAAAAAATTTTCTTTCAAAATTAAGACATAAATCCACAAATATTTTGGGATTTAAAAAATTCATAAGTACTAATGTTACAAAAATTGGAAATTAATGTTTATTTTACTCACGAAGTTGTTAAGCTTGAGAGGTATATCAACATAGTTACCATTCCCTCACCTTTAAATATTTTCGGGAGTTAAACTTTAGTAAATCTGATGATTTTTTAGTGCAAGTAAAACGTTAAGAAAAAAATACTATTTAAAAATTTCCAATTATATAATGTTTCCTCAGAGAAAAAAAACTGGTCTCATGGTTATGTTTATGGGAGGACTTTTGTTGGGTTTAAATTTTCTGACAATCTTTGGTTCTGTAGGAATTTTAAAAAGACGTCTAAGCCTTATTATTATTGCATTCTTTTTTAAAAAGCAAAAAAATAAAAAAAAGAAACGATTTTATAAATTGTAAAGGAAATTTTTCTATATATCATTAAACCAAAATGATTTTTCGACCAAGCTTTACCGGAAGATCTTAATCTTCCATTATTCCCTTTGATTCTTATGCAACTTATCTTTATTGATAAGTTATTTATTAGAAGTTTCTTACCACGTGTGAGAGTGCGTTTAAAAGGTGTCATGTGAGTAAAGAATATTTAAAAAAATTTTCGCATCATAAGAATGGCAAAACTTTTATAACTTTGCAAATCATATCCCAGTGGGTATGAGACCTAAAAAAGTCATATTTTGAACGTTCAAAAGACGTCCAAACGCGTTTTTATTTCAGTTTATTTCAAGTATGCCATTTTACACCCATCAACTATTTTATGTAAAAATAAATTAGCAGGAAGCATTTGAATTATTTACATACGGAGAAAATACTGCTATATACCTAGAGTTTGGTCTCCAAACTCTTGCATATTGCTTAGAGGGCTAAGCTCAAAATAATTTTGAACTATTTGCTATGTAATGAATTTGTCTAAATCTTTATATTATTATATATTGTCTTACCATGGTTACAATGTTGCCTCTGTAACTAATATTTTTACGGACAGTTGCAGAAAGTTTCCTGAAAAATTCTGTATATACACATACACAAACACACATACAGTTATATATATATATATATATATATATATATATATATATATATATATATATATATATATATATATATATATATATATATATATATATATATATATATATATATATATATATATATATATATATATATGTATAGAGAGAGAGAGAGAAAGAGAGAAAAGTGTTTTTTATATGTTAAAAAATTGGCACTAAAAAGCTACTAAAGCGACAACAAAACAACGACTACAACAAAACAAACACTACACTTAAATTTAAAATATGATAAAGTTAATTTGAATGAAAAACAATTCATTAAAAATTTTAACAAAAGTGCCAAAGTAATTCTAATCGTATTAGTTGGTGGTATTTTATGATTCAACACCGATTTTTTTTTCTCAGTTACAATAAAACATCAAATTTAGTATAAAATAAATTATTCGTATTGAATAAAAGTCTCTTTTTTTTTTCGTCTTTTTCTTTGTTTTCATTATATATATATATATATATATATATATATATATATATATATATATATATATATATATATATATATATATATATATATATATATATATATATATATATATATATATATATATATATATTGTTTTTTAGATTTTGTTGACATTTATTACAAGGATGTGACGAAACTGTTATTAAGACATTAATATATTCATTTCTAAAAATTTTCATAAATGTTGAAAAAAGAAATGTTTTCTAGTTTTTCAAACAATTATTTTTTAAGTGCCTTTGCAGATATTATAAGGATAGTTATCCAATATAATTCTAAAGTATTTTATACATTCATTAACCAAAGTCATATAAAGGCAATCGTTAAACAAACAGGTTTTTTCAAAAACTTTATATGAAAAATCTAAAAGTTGACAAGTAGAGAATGATAGAAATAATTATATTCATTTTAAAATCTTCTATTCCTAGTCTGATTTTTTCATTTTTATTGAATACAAATGCAAAAAAATTTTGAAAATTTAAATTTAAATAATTTTTCAGTAAAAAATTAGCATCATTTTGTTGAGGATTTATTGTTATATATTTATATATTGTTATAAATAAAGTTTAATAAATATTTGCTCGCGGTTGATATAAATACGGATGATATAGCACTTTCTAAAAATTTCCTTGTTTTTGTCTCTGATTTTTTAAAATATTTTTGTGAAAATGTAATTAAGTAATTTTACATAAAGTGAAGTTTTCATTCAAGTAAACAATTTTTTTATTTTTTTTATTTTTTTAAAGTTTAAACTTTTTCTCTTATTTTTTTTATTAGTTCGTTAGAATTATCTTGTTCTATCTCCACTTTCTGAAAAAATTAAGTTAATGATAGTGTTGTGTTCCTCAAAGTAATGTCTTTCTACTGAATTGAAATCTAAGTTATAAGTAAAAAAGTTGCGGAAAAAACATAAGTTATAAAAAAAAAATACGCCGCCTCCTAAAGTTTTTATTTTTTAAATCGTTTTATCTCAAAACTAAAAAATGTGGAGATAGAACAAGATAATTCTAACGTCGCGATTAGTTAAAAGTACTGATATCTGGATTACACAACAGTTTTAGACCAATAAACTTCCTCAGGTTTCTAACCAACTAACTTGTGTTTTTTTAATATGAAGAAATGTTTTAATATGCTATGTGTAAAAATTGTGGCAACATTAATTTCTTTCCTACGCCTGTAAACCTGGAAACGAAATTTCATAAAAATTGATAATAAAAACTTTGAAAAACCAAAGTAACCCAAAAAAAAATTTTTTTAACTTACTTATAACTGTAATGAGATAACTTTACTTGACACTCAAGTTGTTTGAATTCATAAATAATCATTAACTTTGCAAATGAAAAAAAAAAAAAAAAAAATACAAATGAGTAAACGAAGACGAAATTGCGTTGAGAAAACGCGCCAAACAAAGTACTCCATAGTTTCAAGCATTTTTATCTTTTTTTTTGTTATAAGTATAAACTTAATTAATTACAAATAATCAAGTAAATTGTTAATTGTCTATGTTACATTAACAGTTAAGTAAATGATTTTAAAGACTTTGAGTTTCATTGTTCAAAGTCGCTTTCTTTTAATTGAAAAGTAAGTTGTTTTATGTGCTTTTTCTTAGGTTTCGTTTAGTTGATAATTTTTAAACGTTAATTCGTTAACTTAAAATTGCTTCCGTTATTCTAAGAGATGTGGTAAACGCTCTAAAATATTTAAAAGATGTGGTAAACACTCTATGATATTTGGTAATGTACTAACAAAATGCCACATGTGGTATTTAATATACAATAAGGCGCAATGAATTGAACTTTGTTACCAAAAGTAACACCTCCATCTTGAAAAGTTTACATACTTAAAAAAAAAAATGCAGCATATATTGTGCGCTTATAATCTATGTAAAATATAAAAATGTACAAATATACATAAATGTTTTTTCAATTATATCATGAAGAGAGTTTTTAAATTTTATTCAGCAGCCAAGTAGAAGTCAAAGAATGGTTTTACATTAAAAGCTGTCTAAATGATAACCCTCAGAACACTCTTTTTTTTTTTTCTTTAATAAAATAGAATTCTGAAAATCTTAAACGAACTAACTTCAATAAAATACTTAAAAAAAGCATTCTTCAGTAAAACCTTTTTTTAATATATATTTACTGTTTATATAATAAGAATTATAATTACAAAGAAACGTTTACATACAAAACGTGGATTTATAAAAAACAGCCAGGGGTTCAAAGAAAATATGGATGACTAAAGTCACCACAATCTTTTCATAGAGCCCCTATGTGGGCTTTACAAGTTAAAATAAAATAAGATATCTCCAATGTAATAAAAAGAATAAAGCTTTCATAAGTTTTTACATTAAATCAAGAAAGTAAACAATATCAAGTTGATTATAGTCATTTAATATTAGTAATAGTCATTTAAATGGCAATCCTGTTGAATATAAAAATAAGAGCAAAGTAAATAATTAAAAAACTAAGAATAATGGAGTTCGATTTTCTTTTCGAAAAATCAAGAAAATTATTTGTCTAAATTAAAAATTTCATTTTTTATTACAAACTTAAAGGAATTTAACGATTTTACCGTATTTAAATTTTTTGTTTTTGAAAAGTGTTCCATAGTTTTGGTCCGCGGTATGATATTCTGTATTCAGAATACTTTCTACTAATTCTTGGCAATTTATAAGTATTCTGTTGGTTTATTCTAAGAGAACATTTTGAAAGTATTTTCTTAGAAGTATTCTCTTAGCTTTTACTTCAAAAAATTGTCTTTAGTAAAATGTGCTAATCTCACAGACTGCACATTAAATATACAAATAAATGTTAAGCAACTTAAAGGTTAAAATAGAAAGTTTTTTTTTTTTTTACCTGATTTGAAGTACCATGCAAATCAATAAAACCAATCAATTATCTAGTTATCTAAACATCTTCGTATTAAAACAATTTTAAAAAGAATCTTTTTCTAACAAAGTGAGAAATGTGCAAAGTTCAGCAGTCTCAGTTTTAGTAGAGAAATATAGATTTTTATAGTGTTACAATAGGGTGGTTTGCGCTTTTAAAAGCAACCAAAACCGCAGATTTTAATTCTTTGACGTCAAAAAGGTATAGGCTTTAACTCGAACCAGGTTTCTCTGAGAAAAAAATTTCTCATGCTTTTGACTCATCTTGGAGAAGAAAAATAAATTGTAATGCATAAAAAGAAAAAAATTTAAGAGAAGAAAACGCCTACTACTTGAATTGACTATTTAGGTTCAAAATGTATTTTTAAGTATTTATATATAAACTAAGTGAAGCGAGGAGTAGAGAAGAGTCAATATTCTTGTCCAAAAATTTAAAGTAAACGTTCAAACATAAACTTATATCATAACCTTGGAATGAGCAAACTTAAAATCTTATTGAGCAAATATTTTGCAATTTATTATAATTTATTATTGTTTCATTCTTTTGTTTAAAAAATTCGTTTTAAAAGCATTTTGTTAACTTTTTTTTTAAGTCATTTCTAAGCCAACAAACATAACAAAAAAAAATTACAGTTAAAAACCATTTAAACTGTAGTTTCTATGAAAAATAAAATACTCAAATAGGAATTGTGAAGGGAATAAGTTTAAGTTTACAAACTTGGCAAGCTAGTATATCTGCTCCTTGCTATAGACTATCAATTTTGTATTGAATCTTTTCCTTTTTTGCATAATATTGATATTTCTTTGTTTAACGTTGGAACCTCTTTGTATTTGATGTTGAATAGTTGAAGATAATCATTAGATGCGAGCAAGCATATTACGATTGTTAAAAACGTAAATTTCATTAATAAAAATATTTAAAATGAATCGTAATGGATTTTCTCTAGTATGAAATAATTTTACAAATTATTAAAGACACGTTTTATTTCGCTTTTTTTTTTTTTTTAGGTAATTTGAAGATGCCATTAAAACATTTAAAATATAAAAAAAAACTTTTTTTTTTCTTTTTTTTTTTTGTATTTTCAATATATATATATATATATATATATATATATATATATATATATATATATATATATATATATATATATATATATATATATATATATATATGTATATATATATATTATATATATATATATATATATATATATATATATATATATATATATATATATATATTTAATAAATAAATAAATATTTAAAAAAATAGTTTTTAACAATCATAAAAAAAGCAAAAACCGCAACATCACTAGAAGTGAAAACCGCCATCTTTTTTTAATCAGTTATCTTTTAAGAATATTAATCAAAGCCTCGCCGATTATCTAAGAATGGCAATCGTTTGAGTAAATTTTTTTCCCGCTAGCTTTGATGTTAACCCCGTAATCGATTTGTGGTGTTTCCATGGTACAGACGTTAACAGGTTCATTCGCAATTTATTATTGAAAGTAGAAATTCCTGATTTTACTGAAAATTCTCTGAAAGTTTTTTACTAATTAAAAGGTAAAAGTCTAAAGAACGTAGTTATTTGCGACTAAATTTCTTGTTTATTTTAAATCGAAATTTGCATTAAAAGGCAAAATTTATTCAGCTACTACCATAATTACCACAGCGCATCATCTTCCATGACATCACGCACGAGCTATCCGGGCTAGCTGTTGATGGACCAGTAGGCATGGTGCCTACTGGTCCACCTAGTTAAAACGTTCTTTGGACGTTTTAACTTGGTTTAAACTTAATAAAAACATCCAAAAACGTTTAAAAAACGCACCGTGCCTACTGTGCCGTCGGTATAATTCACCTACCAACTAACTTTATTTGAGGATTTATTCAAAAAAGTCATAAAAAACATATGAATTTAAAAGTTACTAAAAATATATGTATAAAAATTAATTTTATTAATAAAAAAAAAAGTGTTGATATTGTAAAAACAGTATTTGATGTCGTTAAACCTATTTTATTATACATTTAAGATCACATTTTTAAATTTGGAAATAATTTTTAAATTTTAAAATATCTGTAATAATTTAAATATTTTAAAATATACTTAGTTACTTCGTTTTTCAAAGTTGTGTAAGAAAATTATGCAGACTCTTTAATCACTCTTTTTATCTAATTCTGATTTACTGAATACAAAAAACTAAACAAGGCTGCAAGCAACCACTATTAAATTGGGAGTTACTAGAAAACAAAGAACAGAGTTAAAGAGCAAGAAAATGGTTGACAGTAGACTTGAAAAGTTGTATGTCGTATGAATCAGGAAAACATAAAGATAGGAGAGAGTTTCAATGGGTTGAAGTGCGGTGAAATAAACTAAACGAACAAATGTTTTTAGAGCATGCAAGGACAGATACAATAACATATTTAGCATGCAAGAACAGATACAATAAACGAATGAGACTTTGCTGAATGACGAGTTAAGCGAGAATGAGTTTTGGTTGATGGAACTATGATAGCTCTTTTGAGCAGCGATCTGAGTATACTGAGTTTTGTTGGAGTTAAAATTCACTAGTCACTGCAAGCCCCAATCTGTTACAGAAGTGAGATCAGATTGTAGATTGGCATCCTGTTCTAAGTGATCAAAAAGAGAAGACAGGATTATAAATTTGAGTCTTCAGCGAAAAGAGCTACTTTAGATGTAAGGTTGTCAGATAGATCATTAATGTAGGTATAAAAAAAAAAATTCAAAGATAGAACCATGAAGTATCACTAAAGTTACTGGAAATAAAGAAGAGTGGTAGCCTTCGAGGATGACTTAAATCCAGGATGCACAAACTTTATCTTAAAGTGCCAAACTTTATCTTAAAATAGCATTTTTAATATAAACAGTTTGGTATAAAAAATGAAAAAAAAATGCTAAGGATCTTATAATCGAACCTTTCAGCTCTATTTTAGGATGCGTTTTTATTTCTTTGGTACGTAAACGACTTATTTTTTGCAAACAAAAACGACTAATTTTTTAAAAACAACAAGTTTTATATACTTTGAGTACAAAGTTTTGCTTGCTTATGGTTCTTTTTTGTTCTCAAATAGATATAAAAACACTTTTTGAATTAGTTTATGAATAGTTACGTTAATGAGTTGTTCGTTAGTAATAAACTTCCACTAACTGTGGATTAAACCAAGTTTATACATTTCTATTAAGTAAATAAATCAGAAAATCTTCCTTTTAAATTACTAAACATTAAATCAAAAACACTTTTATTAAAAGTAAAGTTTTTAGTTTTGCACAATAAGTTCTACCGAACGCAATAATGCAGTAGGCAGTACGTTTTTTTTTGTGAATTATATTTGTTTTAATATTATTATAAAATACTATTTTTATGTGAATACCACTGTAAATTTTTATATAGCTTTCTCCTAACAAGTTTACGGATGTTTTCTTTTTAATAAAAGCGTTTTTAATTTAAAGGCTGTTTGCTGTTTTCTATATTTTCTTGTTCTTACACCTGCCCTCAATTTTGTTATTTATTTGTATGTTGTTTATACGGAAAATAAACTAAACTAAATTGTACTTAAACTATATATTTATTACCTTCAATCAACTCATGGGTAATTTGCTACTCGCAATGAGTTTATTGCTAACTTATTAAGTAAAATTAGTTCATGACTAATTATTACTCTTAACGACTTAATGATGAATTTCCGAGGATTTGATGATCGTTCTTAACGTTATGTTTGATGTTCCAACATTTTGTTTGAAATCCGAACATTTTGTCTGATATCTGAGCATTTTGTTTGATGTCCGAACATTTTGAAAATAATGAACTTAAATCTCAATTGGATTTATGACAGACGCGTTGATAGATTTCAATTACGTGATTTGTTTTTTTTTTCAATTACGTTCAATTATTTGATATAAGTATAAACATATGAATGTTTGGAGTTTGATCCACGTCTGGAATTTAATTTAACTCTAGAACACCAAAAAATCCTGGATCAGCCCCTGCTGCTCATCATTTGGATCTTAAATAAATAAAATCTCCACTACAACATCCAATTTAGTCAAACATCCTGATTTAGATTTATAAACGATTGACATAAGCTAATTAAGAGCATTTCTATTCAAAAACAATTTATTATTTTAAAAACAATTGCAAATTTACATTTCAAAAATGAAATCTTCAAATAATATTTTTGTCTTTGCTGATAAACCTTCGTATCATGAACTTTCTACTGAAAATATTATTAAAAAATATGATATAACACAATATAATAACATAAGCGACAATATAATAACATAGATGCCAAAATATAGCAAAAGCTTGTATATAGATGACAGACTAGAAAGTCTTTTTATGAATATAGTATTCATTAACGTGAAAGATCACAAGGATAGTTTCATTAAAATTCCTTAGTGTCAATTGATAAGTCTAGCTAAACCTGAACTTAAAAAAGTAAGTAAAATTTTATTAAACAATGTCAATGATAAAGTACACCAATGGTATTACACAAATGACGTCATAAAATGGTTCAAATTTATACTTAAAAAATGTATATATAGACTTTCATTCAGTACGATATTGATAAGTTTTACCTTTCAATTTCAAAACCGCTTCTTCAAGATTCCTGACGTGCAAAATAATTAACCGAAATTCTTGATAAATTAAATAAAATTTTTTCCACACAGGGAAATCTTTACGTTTTTTTAGGTAGGATTAAAAAGATAGCCGACCCAAATTTTGATTTCATAATGGGTAGTTAATTTTGATTTCATAATGATAGTCTTTGCTGTTTCTATAATATCAGTGCTCCTAAATTATTTTTTTAACCTTATAGAAACTCTAATCTCATTAAAGCGGACACTATATAGTATTTTTATTGTATATAATTTCTAAACTCTGGATAAAATTTAAATCTGGTTGGTTAACAGGTTAAGGATTTATGGCAGTTGTAGATTTTTTGTAGATTTAATTTTGTTTTTTGTTACTTAAACCTCAAAACGTTACCGATGTCTGTGATGTTCGGTCACTATTTTTAAAAAAGTGGTTACATTAGTGCTTTACTATCTAATACCATTAATTTTTATTATTCA